CCATGTACATAGACTCATTGACCATATTATCAGAAATACCTTCCAAATTGTGTTTTATGAAAATGCTAAATTATGTTAAAATACATGTTATTTCAGAGTACATTATATCATCATTATTAAAAACTAAATAAGCACAACTAAAACAGGAAAGGACAGTTCTTACTATAGGATCATTTTCAGCCTAGTTGTCAGCAGTCAGATTCTGCTTTTTTTAATGCAGCCAAGCATGTTCACATGGCTTTTACAGACTTTGCTGTAAATGTTAAACGGTTTTGTATTTTGCAGATGTTGATATTTTGCCCTATTGAATTTCATGCCTGCAACACATTCAAAAAAGTTAGGACAGGAGCATGTTTTCCACTGTGTTACATCACCTTTCTTTCGAACACCACTTAATGAACCTTTGGGAACTGAAGACCCCAACTAATCCAGCTTTCAGAGATGATTTTTTTCCAATCTTCTGTTATACAGGTCTTCAGCTATGCAACTGTAATGTGGCACCTGTACTCTCTGATTTCACAGCCATGTTGTAAGAAGTGCAGAATGTTTTTTAGCATTGTCAAGTTGAAATATGCATTGGTGTACATGAAAAAGGCAGCACCTCAAAGGCAGCATGTGTTACTTCAAAATCGGTTCAATATTAATAATGCTTTCACGGATATGCAAGTCACCCACTAACACTTCGCCATCCCACAAAAGAGCCTGGCTTTTAAGCTTTACATTGGAAACAATCTGGATGGTCATGTACTTCTTTGGCCGGAGAACATGGTGTCCATTCAGACCACAATACATGTTTCCAATGTGCATGCGTCCATTTCAGAGAGCTCAAGCCCAGCAGAGCTCTTCACATATGGCTTCCACTGTGCATAATAGAGTAGCTTGCATTGGCAGATGCAGAACCAAATGGTGTTTATTGATAACAATTTTTCCTGAGCACATGCTACGATATACATCACAGAAACATGTCCATTTTTAATGCAGTGCAATTTCAGGGGTCGAAGACTGGTTTTCGGCCTTTTGCACAGAGATTTTTTTGGATTCCCTGAATCTTTTGATGATATTATGCACTGTAGAGGTGAAATCCTTGAAATTCTTCCCTGAGGAATGTTATTTTTAAGAAGTTGGAATATTTGCTGATGCATTTTTGGCAAAGTGGCGAGCCTTGACCCATCGTTGCTCCTAAAAGACTAGGCTTTTCCTGCTTGCTCCTTTTAGAACCAAGCATGATTCCGTCACCTGTTTAAGATGTTTCTTCAACATTTTACAATGTTCCTAGTCCTAACTTTTTTTGGAAGATGTTGCAGACATCAGTTTCACAATGAGCCAGTGGCCCAGGCTGAAATACATTTGGGTAGGCCAACTTGTTAGATTCAATTTCCAAGCAAGCTATGTACTGCAATGTCATAACATCAGTCTATAGCCTATTGCTGACAGCAGTGCAGTCTTCATTTTACCTTTTCCAACACTTACACTCTAATACAAAGCAATAGCAAGTTATGTGAATGCCAAATTCACATAAATCCAACCAACACGTCCCTTCACAACAGCACTCTTCAGTATATGTACAACTGGCACAATTTTGACCCCACAAAGATGACATAATTATAATGAAGTTATAATCAGACAGCTGAGATGTACAAAGCCGAGGAAAAACAACACAAGACCTAACCTAAACCACCGTATGGTAAAGCATATTGCCATGGCAGGCATGAAAAATATTTTCTGAAAATACAGATGAAAATTCATGTAGTAACCTATACTAAAGCAAGGGATAGTTTTACATCGAATTTATTTCCTTAACCTCCCTCTCTCGCTTGTCTCTTTTTCTCTCTTGCTTCTCAGTCTTTACTGATGTGGTTTTTGAGCAGCAAGCAGAACAACCCTAACACTAGTGTAAAGCTGGCCTAAGTGTCAATAAAGAAAAGCAAAATCACAGTGAGACTGAGACCACAAAGGGCAGTGCGAGTGAATCTACGACCTGGATGCCTCAGAGCTGTGTGATGTGCGTGTCGCGTTGAGGGGAAGAGAGGCCGCTGTTGGCATGGGCTGGAGCAGGGTCCGCAGGTCAAAGGTCAAAGCTGCTGGACGCCTCAGAGCCGTGTTGATGCGCGTGCCACGTTGAGGAAGAGAAGCCGCTGCTCACACCCCACTGGCAAGGCAGGCTTCCGGCGACGCTTGGCGGCCTCTCCGGTGAGGAGCGCAGATCTTCTTCTTGGCGATGGAGGCAGGCGGTGGTCGGAGCAGGCTCTTGATGTGGATCTCAGTCAGCACTGTTTTGCCTCTGTTTCTGTTCTAAAACTAGGTTCTGAGCGGCCTATCGTTGGCAATTAGACTTTCAAAATAGATTGACGAAACTTGAAAAACAAACGCAGCTAGATGCAGCTCTTCAATAGTCTAACCTTACAGTTACAACACTTTAAGATTACTAAGTAAATGAAACAAAACGATTAAGACACAAGACAAACAACTAACATTTAAGATTTGCAGAACTTAGCTAAAGTGCAAAACGAGGCGAACGGGCTTCTCTACTTGGAGTTTCTTTAAGGTTACATGTTGGCTGTCTCGCTCCCTTCAGGGCCAACTTTCCCTGTCTTTCTATTTCTTCTTCTCGTTCTCTCCCCCCTGTTTCTCTTTCTTGCTGGCTTTAAAGAAAGAACTTTGAGAGGCGGAGCTAAGGCGGGGAAAAGGTTTTTGTTGGTTTGTTAGGTTACCTATAATAAATATGCAATTTCTTTGAATGCTGCTTTGGAGATTCTGGGTGTGGTTACACTTAAGTAAAAGAAGCATGCAATTTCACATATAAAACATTATTGTTTCCATAGTGACTATTGCAAATGACTATGGAGCTTACAGATCATTATCCCTTAACGTAAACCATGATATGGTTACATACAATAAGTTGAATTCTTAACCATTCTAGTCATATAAGAAGTAGGAACTACTTAGTCAAAAGAATTAAATTGTTAAGACAATTCCGAGGTTATACGTCACATTACTATTTCTAAACAATGCTTACATGAACGGTTACATAATAAGTGATCATAATAATACGTAATAATACGTGATCATAATACGTAATCATCAATAATTCTGTAGATATGTTGGGAGAAACTATATTTAAGTGTACATAGTCACACAAGCTACAAACTTTAGAATCCTACTTCTAATAACACTACAAGAAGACTTGCAAGAAAAGCAGATATATAAGATTAACAGCGATCACGAAATACATGGGTTGTTTCTCAAACAAAAGAAAAAGAAATATTATATAATGGGTGAAATGAACATAGTTGTGAATGATCAAAGATCAATATAATAACCTAGATCAGTGAGGAAGGGTTACAATCCAAGAATCAAAATAACTACTAGAATATAAAAGAACATAGTGTAGAAAGTTAGGTATTAATTCCCTTTGGCAGGGATTAATCAATTCATGCCTGACAAGGTAACATGTTAACAGTAACAGAGGTGTTCTTCACAATTTGATAAAGGAAAGGCATTTGATTGATACTTGATTAAAGATCACATTGTGAATAATTTGCCAGAAAGCAAGGCTCTCAGGAGCCTAGCCTCTGCACAGACCCCAAATTTATGATACTGAAGGAATGCACTTAAGAGTATCTGGCCACCCCGAGGGGTCTGCTCAGGGATTCGTGAGGTCTCAATAGTCCCCTCACCTAGAGTTGATTGGTGGGCCATGTTTGGCCTTTGTTTTAGATAAGATGTCTCTCTTTGTGGGGGAAGGTGAGATGTATGGGTGTGAGAGCGAGGGAAAGGAATTTTCAAAAGTCACAATTTATCAGTATTCCAAAATTTACTTCAGTCATGTCCAAAGGTCTCTTCAGGATGTTTATAAAGGGGTGGCATGACGTTCCATTATGTTGCCCTTAAACTGTTAGTCAAAAGAAAAAGAAAGTCTTCAGACCTCTGGGTCAAAGTAGGTCTGTTCCGAGGTGAGCCACCCCCCTCCCCACTTCTGCACCAGGTTGCCAAAGGGGGGGGGCAGCCAGTGGGGGCTGTGAGACGTGTCTTTAGCAGTCAGCCATAAATTTACTATTGGTCCTTCTAAACATCCTGCCACATGCAGATGCAGATCTCACTTTGCTCAAAAAGTTCTGATCCATTTATGAAATTAAAACAGCAAAGCACGCTACAATATAAAAGCATACATTAAAAATATATTATATGAGGCTGTCTCTATCAAACCCCAGCTAACAGAAGGTATTCTACTCATACAGTTATCCAAAGTACCGGCCAGTTTACCTTGATTGTTGAGTTCTGTATTGCGATACACATTACTATACCCTATGCCATGAATATGCTATTTGACAATAAACTTTCTCAAGCTCGTTTTAGAGTTGGAAACACAACACAACAACTTTGATCTATTTTCTCATTCGATCACCAATATAGACAGCTAAGGAGCTTGTCATGTTTGCCTAATTAGACTGAAGCATAGCAGTATTACAACAGTGAAGTTGATTACGTAAAATGTTAAATATTTTGTCATATTTTATTTTTGTCTGCTTTTTGTGTTTATTTGAATTTTACTTACTTTTCCAGAATTTTTGGAATTCAGTTTGTAATTCTTTCTGTGTCACTTGTGTATCTGTTTCTACCTGGTTGTATGGCATTCATGGAGAATTCATTCTTTCTTTATTTATTTATATCTTGAAAGTAACGTTTAAACTGTATAGTTTATTTTAATAAAGTTTAAGTGAGTAAAATTTACATGAGTATATTATGTCACAGCAGAGGACGTGAGGCAAATTGTGAAACATGTAATAAATTATGGCAAAACTTGATTTGTTTTTAGAGTTCTTGGGAAAACAAAATAATCTGTTCACTTTTTTCAATTTTATTTTCAAAGAACATGAGCAACAGTTTTCATTTTAATCAGTGTGGAGCGTACGTCATGTCAATCACCCACAAATATGGTGTCCTGAGCGACTTTTATTTAGACAAGCGTTAGCAGAGACTCTTAATAACCGGAAACAGATGTGTTAAGAGATGTAAGGGTCTTTGAATAACGTAGATCTGTTAAGGATGCGTTAATTTTGCTGCTAATTTTGTCCCCCCCTCCCCCCACCGCGGACCCTCGCCGCATGTTACCGCCAGGCGTTAGTGCAGTATGTCTGAAACAATCTTTCTGATTGTGCCTTCCGAAATGTACACGTCTGATTTTATGATTGGCTCACGTGTAGCTTAGATGAACTGCGGAAGTTCACAATACCGGTACACTGTGCGTCAACCAAATTCATCGTCTGATAGCTTTATAAACTAAGTTTATGCGTAGGTAAGGCGACTAATTCTGAGGTTTGGAATATTGCGTTAGCTCATTAATGATTTTATTTAAATATCTTCGGTTAGTGAAGGGGATAATGTTAAATATCTAAGTTGTCTGTGTTGTCAGATTTGTTATGATTGAGATATTTAGATCAGGTTTCTTTTTCTACAAGATTATGTTAGTTTTATAATAATCAACATAATGCAAAAAAGAAACAGTGTATTTGCACTTCTCATCTGGTATATATGTATACACCTCGTCTGTGCCCACACTGAAAAGGTGAGTAATTCATTTTATTATACGTAGTTGGTTAGCTAATGTCCATATGCTGGGACGCCTGCCTTTGGGGTGCCGATATCGATTTTTCTGAAGTAATCCAATTTTGGTATGTAACGTTAGAGCTTATAATCATTCTGAGCATTGAGCGGATTTTTTTATAACATACCTGACAGGCTAACCCCGCTAGTCTCTTTCACGAACAGCTTTTTTTGCAGAGTACCAAACATGCAAGCTAATTAAAAATATAATCGTTATCCCAAAATAGGTGCATTACATGGTGTCCCCATGTAGCTCTTTTATTCACACAGTGTTCTGAATGTAACAAATTTATCTCACCTTAGTTTGATTGTTGTACACAAGTAAGAAAGATTTGCCCATTTAGTTTTCTACAGCTCTAACCATTAAAGAGGATGGGGAAGATTTCAGTAAGGAAGAGAAGGCACATGGCACTCAAGATCCTGAGGACTTGGAGGTGTTCCATCCTACAAACGAATGGCGGACTCTCAAACCCGGTTAGTTCACATATTAGTAACCAATTTAACACCCCCCCCCCTTCACAACAACTAGATGTTGCTACTATAAATGGATTTAAACATACATTTCCATCATCTAAACTCAAATGCCAAAACTAGCATAAAAGAATATCTTTATATGCAATACTTTTAGAGGCATTAAACACTTCAGATGTTTCACAAATACTTTAAACAATACTAACTTTCTAAGTTTCTCGATAATGGTGCATTTCACATTAAACTATTTCCTGATGTGCTAATGTAAGTATACCTGCATATACATTTTGCGTACGTATTTACTTTATGACAGGTCAAGCTGTACCAGCAGGCTCTCATGTCAGGCTGAACCTTCAGACAGGGCAAAGAGAAGCCAAACTTGGAGAAGAGAAAGGTCTCAAATACTTGAGAGATGGACAGAGGTATTGTAGAACAAGTATTATGTTAGTATAAACACTATTTGTAAATAGTGGCAAACTTTGCTTAGGCCTTATAATTATTGTTATATTATGTTACATTAAACCAAAATGCTATAAATGTTCTTTTAGAAGTATTTAAATCATGCATAAGGTGACTAATGTCAAACTATACTGTCAGCTTGGTAATCAGTAATGGTTGGCGGATTTGATTGATTTTTGTGTTTTGAAAGCAATGTTTGATTCTGAGCAATGTTTACATTCTTGTGACTCAGTTGGTTTTACTAGAAAGAGGCACATATTGGGGAATTTAGTTTTGTAATTTGTTTTAGGTTTTTGAAAAATTAGATGTAATTTTATGAAATGTTCATTAGTTGTAAAAAAAATAAATAAATAAAATGTTACTTTTTCCTTATTGAAGCTATAGCTTTAGCACCCATTCTCTTTGTCTGGTCCCATGTGTTGCATATGTGACATACCCTATTTGTGCCTTTGAGAATGTAAGGCAGCTAATGTTCTTTGTCCTCCATGAGGCAGGCAAGAACTGATGAACAAGCAGGCTGCTTTTTTCTCAACTCAGAAACTAAAAGAGGCTCTAAAGAAGTTCAAAGGAGAAGATGATAACCCTTCAAAAAAGGACTTAGGGCAGGTATGCTATTGTTCATGGCTGGTCGAATTATACTTCTATGTCTGTTTATCTGCAAATGTGTGAGCATCACGTACAGACGTTCTTGTAGGTGTTGGCTAATGTACTTACATATAATGTGTATATGTACACTAGGGAGCAGTGTCCAAACCAGAATGGACAAAAAAATGTCTCATGTTTTTCTTTTCTCTCTCCGAGAATTAATACTTGCTTCACAGTTTTTGTAATATTTTAAAGATCTGTAAATATTCTATAAATGTTTGTAATGTTGCACCTCTTCTACCTACAGCTCCTCAGACTGCTCCATTTGATTTTGTTGTAGTTCTACTTCTAGCCTAATATTGTTCTGGTCTCATCCCTCCACCAACGGCAATGAGTAGCCAGTTAGCATCTTTTTGGATTACGGCTTCACCTATTTACACAACACATAGTTGAAAATTTGGAGGTGTGCACTGTGTGGCCTCTGCAAGCTATGCTTACCCATGAATGCTTTCTTTTCATCTCGATGTATCATCGCTGTTTTTTCGATTTTTACTGGGAACACTTTAATGATGAATGGACCAACAGAAATCCTTTAAAATGGCTTGCAATCTCTTTACATTAACTTATATGGAAAGTATAGAAAGTTGTTGCCCTCTCCTGTAAAGTAATCATTTTGGAGATATTTGTTTTTCTTTAGACAGTGACGTTATGTTTATCTGCATCTTTGCAGAAGTATTAATCAATCTTAACTTTTCTTCGCTTTTGTTTGCTATTTTAAGCTATTTAATGGTATCTGATTGCAGGCTGAAGAATCTGTGAGGTCCCAGTTTCGCTCAGTAGATGATCTGAAAAGAGACATGGAAGCACTAGACTTTCTAATGGAAACAGACATCCAGATCATGCGTAAACTTTTGTCCCAGTTCAACAGCACCGGCAGTACAGTAGATCAACGAGTAACTGTTCTACTTGACCTAGAGTACCTTGTTCACCAGGTAATGACTTTGTTGTATTTGTGTTTACCATCACATTACTAAAATTAGCCAAAATCAAATTTAACCTCTTAAAGTTTAACTTCTAGTCCCACGCATATTGCATCCTAAGGCTTTAAAGTTAGTAACTAAATGATGTATAACTGTGCAACTGTAAAGTAGTTAAAATCACATTTCTGTGAACATCAATATATTACTGCCCAGTTTTGTTCCCACATTGTTGGGAATTCCAATTCAAATATTTAACTGTTATTTTAGGTACTTTTTGTAATGGTTGTCATTTTAAAAATCTTATGTGTATACCCTGCTGATCAACATTTCTTTCATGATGTTGAGTAATTTACCATAGGTAGACTAAGAGAAAGATTTAGATTCAGTTACTGTGATGAAAAGCCCAAGGCAAGAAGTGAAAACTAAAACAAAACAAAAATAGAAAGATTTCTCTAAAAATGGAGAAGTAATCTCAACTGGTCAGCCAATCTGCACAAACACAGATGAACTTACATGTAAAGGCAAAAAGATTAAAAATGTGACCAAAAATAAATCAGCAGGCCAAAACTCGACTAGCCAAATGAGGGAAATAGTGAGGTGGGGTGAGAGGAGGCTCTGGTGTCTCCCAAAAGACTTTTACAAAGAACTTTAACATTTTATGAAGATTATGTGTAGAACAGACAAGTTGTACTTGCAACTGCTGATTCACCGTTTCATAGTGAAGCTAATAAAATGGAGAGCTGGGTTGGTTTTCAGACATAACATCATTGTGTTGTTTAGTCATCAGTGTGTTCGTCATATACATTTTCTTCATGTCTGTAACAGTCACTCTTACTCAGGCCAAAATCATTCATGGATTCTGAACAATCTCTGCAAAGTCACCTTTCACCCAGTTTTACCACCATATGCCACTCCACCATGTTTGGTAGGATTCTTTTTTGAGATGAGCATAAGCAAGTCCTTATGTCAAATGTCACAATAACTTTCTCAAGAAACAGTCTTACTCCAAGCACCACATCGTACAAACATACACTATGCTTATAGTAAAAGGTATATAATATATAATATTCCATTATAATAATATAATTTCATTACAGGGGATTATTTATACCTTAAGGAAGAATGTGTACATGAGTTGATGTGTGGTAGCTGACTTGAGTTTGCAGACTAGCTCCAGAAGTCTAATATGGTCCTGCTTGTCAGCCACGATAACGTTTTGACAAAATCAGTGCATATAATAATTTTATAATAAATGTTCTGTTCGTTGTACTGTTTGTTTAATTTATTGGTTGTTTGTTTAATTTCATTATTTTTTCATAGGTGGATAATGCACAGAATCTGGTGTCAATGGGTGGAATGAAGCTGGTAACTGATGCCTTAAATAATACAGATGTTAGACTTAAGGAAAGTGCTGCATTTGTACTAGGATCGGCTATTTCAAGGTAAGTTATTTAAAGTATGGTTGTTACTTTTTTAATAAGTAAGCTGATTAAATGATTGATTTGTTGGTGTTTTTTTTTGCAAGTAACCCATCTGTCCAAGTTGAAGCCTTAGAGAGTGGTGCCTTGCAGAAGCTACTGAATTTGCTTGCTACCCCTCACCCAGTGTCAGTTAAGAAAAAGGTAAGAAAACTTTTTTTTTTTTTGTTTCTCTGTTATTCCACTATGGTAAGATGTCTCTTCACCCAGTAAAAAGTATTTTAGGCTCAAATTAGGGACTGGGATTACTGATTAATTGTACTGCAAGGTACCATTGTAAAAGTGAGAACCAGTGGAAGTTGTCTCATGATATGCATTTAACTGCTTTGCATTCCACTTTGCTCACTCTGCTCCTTTTTTTTGCTATTTTATTGCCTTTCTCTTAAACAAAACAGATTTAAGATTAAATATTGAACAAGAAAAGTAAACAAGTATCAGGTCACTGATACTCAACAAAATTTAGCTTGTGTTCACTTTACTTAGCTATTGACTATTAATTTACATTGGTTTATGATGATGTTGATCTGTGGGTACAGTAGGTAAAACTGGCCTTGGTAAGTTTTTCTAGAACAGACCATTTCACATCAAACCACTCTGAATGACTTTGACATCTTAACAAATTAATTTGGTGGAATTCCACTTTTCAGGCATTATTCACATCTTTTTTTTTGCCTGAGATAAAATGCTAAAGCATTGTGTGAGCAACAGCAAAGCAGTGCAGGTGCTAAAACAACACAACAGAATGACATTAAACACAAAAAAACAAACTAAATGAGCAGGACTAAAACTTGTTGAGAACAAAAAGATTTTTCTTTACCCCACAAACTACTTAAGTAAAAGTATTAGTATGTGGAAATACTCAGAAAAGAATGAACAATATAAACCCATTAAAATTAACCTTAAAGGGGAATTCCACCTGTTTTCAAACTTGTATACATACAAGTTTACATGTATACATTGAGATGTAAACAAACCACTCCACTCTAGAGAAATTTAGCAACTTTTATAGTTCACAGATTTTTCTTTTACATTGATATTGACAGGATCCAGAATGCAGAAGATTTTTGTTTCTATATTGAACTTAATATGCCAATGTCCTGCATATACCACTCCACCTTGAATGTACTGTAAAAATACATGTTAGTGTAAGCACAGTTATTTAGCTTACATTAAAAACTAATGAATGTTTCTCATTATTATTATTATTAGTAGTAGTAGTAGTAGTAGTAGTATTCATTGTTTTTTTGCAGAGGCTCACCGGTTCACCGGTTGTCTGTAATTATTATTACAAACACAATTTCAAAAAAAGAATTGAAAACAGTACAAAAACACTATATTTTATGTTTTAAACTTTCATTGTTTTTTGTAAATACATGCTCGTTCCAAATCTGACGCCTGCAACATATCCAAAAAAGTTGAGACAGAAGCATGTTTTCCCACTGTATTCTGCTGTATTACTTTTCTTTTAACAACACTTAAAAATCATCTGGGAACAAAAGACAAAAACATTTCCATTTTTGAAAGCAATTTTTTTGCCATTCTTCTGTTATACAAGTCTCCAGCTGTGCAAGGTCCTTTATTGTTGTATTTTGCGCATATTGTCAATGGGAGACAGTTCTGGACTGCAGAAAGACCAGCCTAGCACCAGCACTCTCTGATTACACAGCCATGCTGTTTTTACATGTGGCTTGGCATTGACATGTTGAAAAAACCATGGGTGTCCCTGAAAAAGATGTCTAGAAAGCAGAACATGTTGCTCAAAATCTTATCAGTGTTAATTGTGCCTTTGCAGATGTGAAACCCTGCCCAATAACATGACAGTTCCTGACTTTTGAAATTAACTGAAAAAGCTAACTGAGACCACAAAACACATTTCTACTGTGCATCATTTAAGATGAGCTCAACCCTAGAGAATCAGCAACATTTCTGAAAGCTGCTGACATACGACTTCCAAACTTGCATTTGTGGAGGCAGCAACAGGCAGTGTTTATTGACAGCAATTTATCAAAGTATTCCTGAGCACATGTGATGATACACATCACAGAAACATGTTTTTTTTAAGGGAGTGCCATCTGAGGGATTGATTGTTTATATACCTTATCCTTCACACACAGAGAATTCTATTGATTACCTGAATCTTTTGATGTTATTAAGCATTATAGAGGGTGAAATACCTAAAATCCTTGCAGTCCTCACTGAGGAACAATATTTTTTATTTAAAGTATTGGATTTTTTGCTGATGCATTTTTGGTGAAGAGCCTTGACTCATCCATGCTCACAAAGGACTAGGTCTTTCCTGAATGCTCCATTTATACCCAAGCATTATTGCATCACCTGTTAATTTTTAATGGAATGTGCTGCTTGCATCAGTTTCAAAATAAACATATATTTACAAAAAACAATGAAATTGTTAATTTAAAACATTACAAGTCTTTGTGCTGTTTTGTTCAAATACAGGTAAATTTATAATTCACAGTTTTCTGTTTTTATCTGCTTTTCACATACGTGCCAACTTTTTTTTGGAAATGGGTTTGTATTTGTAAAGCAAACATGCAGACTAACATTGTAAAGTTAACATATAAACCCACAAAGTATGGTTCTAAAAAGGTACAAATAATCAAGTTCAAGTCAGAATGATACTCCTAAGTCTACTCATGAAGCAAAAGTGAATTATGTCCTTAATGTTTTCTCCCAAATAGATAAATTGAATTTTGCTTTTTCTCAGCAGGGAAATAAGTTTAAAAAACATACTGATTCAAATGATTTGGCAAAATTCTAAATACTGGACATAGGCCTGTCAGATAGTCATTAGACAACTGCTACTATTGGATGATAACTACAAATGATACTGGTCAACACAACAACAGACATATAATTTCTGCATATTTTATTAATGTTATTTATTCTAATATTATTGTTTTTTTCAGAGCAAATAAATGCTAACTGTCAAGATAAATAGCTTTTTAATATAAAGTTCTTAGGTGCCTAAAACATCTGGACAGAACTGCATGTTTATTTGTTTTGGTAAGAGTATTGACTATGCTCCTTTAAATGATCCTAAGTATGTCCCCTGGACTACTCAGTGATGAATGTGTTGGCTTATTAGTGGGAGTGTGTTAGAAGCTCCAAGACAAGGACAGCCCAGGGTCCAAGAATTAATTTTCATGATGCTGATAATGTATTAACTTTAAAGAGTTTATATAAATTTATATCATAATAATACTAATGATAACAATGAAAATGTACTATTATTTATTTTTTCATTACAGTTAAAAGTACATTAATACATGCTTACTGTGATGTTTTTATATCCAGGCTTTGTTTGCATTGGCATGTTTGCTGCATCACTTCCCCTTTGCTCAAAGTCAGTTTGTGAAGCTCGGAGGACTGCAAGTACTTGGTGAGCTGTTCCAAATGCCAGGGGCTGATGCTCTCCATGTGAGAATCGTCACATTGCTCTATGACATGATTACAGAAAAGGTCAGTATTGGTGCATAGATATGCTAAAACACTGATGGTATAAATTGACAGGTATGAACCTGAAATAAATTATGGATTTCAAACCACTCAAAAAATACCACATTTTTAGACCAATAATGTAAAATTCTCAGAGACTCACAGACTTCAACAACAATGTTGTGTTCTAGGAACTGATCTCCCAGACTGGTAAAGATGCTGTGCGAGATTCCTCTCATCAGGATTATTTGCAATATGCTGAATACTCACTTCTGCCCATGTTAGCTGAACAGGGCTGGTGCACCCTAGTGCCTGAGCTTTTAGTCTCTCCTGAGCATGATCGGAGAGAGAAGGCTTTGCATGCTCTTCTGGCCATGATGACCCACTGTCAGGCTCAATATCAGCAGAATCCCTCACTGGCCACCTCTCTCAGCATTCTGCAGAAGGAATACCAGAAACTTGCGCTCACAGAGGAGACCCTGGGGGAAGAGGATGGATACTTTGGAGAGATCTTGGCACTACTGGACTCTTTGGTGCAGAAAATGCACTGAGAAAACAATGAGATAAGTAATTGTGTTCCATTGTGAAAAAGCCAATAAAAAAGCTTGTTTAAATTGAGTCTAAATTGTCATAGTACATTCTGGTACAAAATTTGTCTTGAAGACATTGTAAAGTCTTTAAAAACTGCATATGTATTTATTTATTTATTTTTCTTTTACCATTTTTATGAACCCAGGCTCTTCTATGGGGAAATAAACATTTATCAAGCCAAATACTAGCTTTTCGCCCGTAGCACACAGCTGCCAGTTCTGCAAACTGGACTCAATGCAGACGTCTTCACTGATGTTCAGACAGAGCCAGATCAGGGTTGGCAGATTGGTGGGATCAACATTTTAATGCGACTAACTTTAAAATAATTATTTAACCATGCTATTTTCTCCATTATCTTGTAGTACTTCAATTTTGTCAAAACCCCTTATATAATTTACTTTAGAAATATATGGCCAAAGTTAGTCAGGTGGCAAAGTATTCTACTTGGTTAGTTATAGTTTTCCTAGTTTAGGAATCATAGCGGTGAAGTGGAATGTATTTTTGTCATTGTGTTATTATTTTAACCTGTTACTAATTAAGCTGTTGGAATGTTTGACATTCTTGCCTTTCATTTTGACTAAAAGTGGCTTTAGTAGTGTTATGAGATTGCTGAAGTTTGAGAAAAAGATGGGGGGGTACAGCCTTCTAACTTAAAACAGAATATACCCACAACCCCACCCTGATTTTCAGATTTCCCTCCACCTACAGTCACAAGCACTACTTTTACCACAACTGTAGATCAAAGGTGTAGTCTGTAAAAATACATTTACATAAACTAGGACACTAATCTAGGAATTTGATCAAATCCATTTTAAACTTGCATGACTATCGGAGATCTGTAATTCTACTGAAAACTAAAAAAATGTGATGTCAAGTATTGCCCTATGTGCACAGACTTCAATGATTTTCAAAGCCTATAGACAATGTAGAAATTTTGCCAAGTTCTATACTTGGATGTAATTATGGAGAGTAAAATTGTATTTCTATAAAGCCATCCCAAAATAATTTTGAGTTTGCAGAAAATCTTGTTGTTTCTCCAAAAATTACAGAGTGAAGCCTACTGCAGTTAACTTACCAAATAAGATTAGAGCTGACCAAACACTGGGAAACTTATCCTGCCAGTTCCTAATGTCTGTATCTTACCAAGCTTATAAGCAAAGTAAATGTTCATCGGTGCTTGTTTTGGAGTGGAAATTGATTTTTTATATTTTATGTTTAAATTTTCAAATCTAAAGTAATAGTGAAGGTTTTTTTTAAACAACCATCATACCTCCCACTCAGTGTGCGATCAAGTGTTAAATCTTAGTGTGTGACTGTGTAGATGAAAGCAACACATCCTGGTGCTTTGTCCTTGCATAAAGCCCCCGCATTGGATGAAAGCAGACCTGCTAAGTTGACTGGCAGCAAATACAAATTCTGAGGTCTTTCACAATTCAATAGTATAAAATAAGGATACCCTTCTTTTTTATAGCTATTAGGAGCCCAAATCCTGTGGCCACCCTGACGAACAATTCTGTTGTGTCATTGCCGATTAACGATCAGTGTCTTATGTAGAAAAAATTTAAGAAATGGGGGCTGATGAGCATCCTTTCAGTCTGCCTCCCTGCCTACCCAGGGTGTCAAACCTTATTGAATATTTCTGACATCTGACTCTGTCATTAAGTCACCTTTTATACCGGTTTAGTGGTCTGTCTAATGTGATGTTACTGTAAACTAATTACATTGCTAACATTAACGTGCTTAACAGGTGGTTAGGGTTAGGGTTGGGTTGCTGCTAAGAGGACTGGAGAGGTTAAAGTGGCTGTGATTGCATGGCAGGGTGAGTTGACTATGTAACATTATCAGTATTAATCACAACAACGCACATCAACAGACAAAGCAAAAAGAAAGAGGGGAGTTGGAAAACGTGGCGAGCAGTTCAGAAGGCAAAAGAATATCATCAACAACAGTCCTTTGAAATGTTGTCTGCCACTCAATAATTGTCCATTGTTCTGAACACTTTTAAGGGATATGCAGACTCTTTCAGGACAAAGTCATGGTTTGAAAACTTCCCAGGGTTTTCTGATGACAATGTACAGGCAATAGAAGAAAAAAGACCTGGCAGAGTATTCATCTTGGCACTAGCAAAGAGTTGGGAGGGTGGTGAACACATTTGTGCACAGCGAATTACACACATCTCTTGAGAAGCCTTGAGTGATTGTGCAGAAAGAGTCAAAATTGGCTGACATCTTCAGGCATTGTTTGGGATCATGAAGAGAGGTCATCGAAACGTATGCCCTAGGCCTAACAACCACATGCACAGCACAAAAAATCATCATATCAAATGAGGTATATACAGCCTGCAAGAGCTTCAAGATTCTAAGGGCAAGCTTCCAAGTGTGCAAATACAAGCCCTACATACACATACAACTGTGATGCATACATGTCCTGTAATTGCTGTGGGAAAAGAGTGGTTGAGGCAAAGTGACCCTTGAAGTGAGCCAGATGTGAATTTGATCACTGGCCCGCAGACAAGACTGGGCATCTGGACACTTTGTTGTCGCTCAGGATCAACCACAGTTCCTACACCCAGGTAATGGATTTAAGTAGTAGATTTTGGAAGATGAGGGAGCAAATAGTTGTCACAAGACTGACTATGATGTGATTTACTCTAGGTATGTGTGGTGCTTAGATCGCATTTAATGTGTTGTAAGCAATTGCCCATTTGAGCTGCCATGGCCAGAACTCAGTTATTCAACTGAGTTCTGTGTATTCAGTGATTCAAACAGAAAAGATAGCGGAACTGCTGAACTGATCTTAATTGCACATCCTCTTTTCTGTTTTTTATTAAACACAATGCTAATTGACATATTGATCAAGAAAGCACACACATACTATCTTGTCAATGGTATCTACATCCCTGTTCTCCATCTCATTCTGCAGGGATTTCACAAAGCCATCCAGGATATAGAATCTGCGCTTCAGGACACCAATCATGCATTTTTAAAATAATAATAAATCTTTTATGAGTCTTTTTAAGCATAAAACCTTACATCAATTTACCCTTGTTCATAGTGTTTGTTGTAGCACTTTTATGCAAATGGCTACAGTCAGTCAGTCACTAGAGCTGTGTTATTGAATATTAATGTATATGTTTAATGAATATTAAAGTTTTAATTGAAATTGTTAATCATTTTGCCATGATATTATATATCAAATGCTTTTTTCAATTGTGGCAAATAAAAATACTTGCCAATTTGATGTCATTCCGGACAACGTCTTTGCCTGTTCCCTGCCATAAGTGAAAGCTTGAGTCTGGCAAAAAGTAAGGCAAAGTCATCTTTCAGGGTAGCCCGATCAGCCAAGATCTGAAACAAGTAATGCATCTGATGTAGGCCTACTGCTTTTAATGTTAGTTGTGGAACACTAACTTACAACTCCTGTACATAATTAGTACAAAAAATAAATCAATAAAAATACAAATTTGACTTGAGGAACTGAACAAGGTAATGATGAAGACAGTCAAACACTGCCTACCTGAGCACAGTCATGGCCCTGCATGCACTGTTTTTGCCACAAATAGCATTCACAGACAATTGTTTCTTAGACCATTTCTGCAGAGCAGGAACTTGATCTCTTTTGGCCTTATCTCTCTGTCTCCTTAGACTGGCCACCTCTATGGCAATTGCAGCCTGCTCCCTGAGTGTAACTGGCCTATCACTCAGTGTACCATATTTAGTGGGATCAGTGAGAGAAGCTTCAGTAGAAGAAGCTTCAAGTGGGAGACACCTCAGTGGGAGCCCTTGTTCGTGATCTTTTGGATGACAGGACCTTATTATCAACACCAGTTTCTCTTTTCCTGGCCTTCTTGTAGCACTGTAACCTTACTGCACTTTCTGTCAATTGCCGTCAAAGTGGAAAAAGATGGGACATAATCTGGATGCTTGTGTAAGCCAAATAAAGATAGTGGTTCAAAAGAACTTTCTACAGTTTTTGGTAAATGCACTCATCAAATATGTAGTGATAAAATAATTGACAAATGTAACACATAATCAGATAATACTTCACTCAACAGTCATCATTTCTAATTCTTTACAGTACAATCAAACAAATCTAACATAAAAATGATGTGTATTTCTGCAACAGTTTGTACTGAACCATTAAATGTATTGCTTGATTTACTTATTAGGGCTTTATTGCAGACAACTAATGAACTTGGACATAAAAATCACTTCAAAGAACAGACAGGTGAAGCTGTTTTACGTGGTACCGGGGGGGAAAAGCCAGCTGGCTGCAGTCAGTGCTAGCGAGCTAGCTGTTATTTAACCCTTTTGTTACAGGCTAACATTAATTTGGGTTTTTCTTTGGCTTTTTTGCTATGTTCTGCAGCATTCATTACTTTGACTTTTAACATTATAACTGCTCACTTTAACATTATTAACTTCTTGTGATAAAGTGTTTTCCACAGACATACACGTACTGACTGACCAAGTCCCACAGTTGACCCTTTTTTTTTATCCTTCCTGTGGATGATCTAAAGCCACAGATCTCTCCTTTTGCTGTCCTTCACTTTTAGGGGAAGTAAAGAAAATTGTAAACTGTTTTTTATTGTTGGATGAGCAAAATGCGACACAGCAGCTTTCAGGCACGATGCTATAGGTATTTGGAATTTGGCGACATCACTTTGACCAGTTTGTTTTCACCCAAAAGGGGGCATGGTCACTAGGATGGCAGGGAAGTGATGTTTGTTTGTTTTCATCCATGCGTGACACAATTGGTTAGAGCGCCACATATCAACAGTCTAATAGACCACTGTAGTCGTGCAGCAGTCTGAAGTCTGCTTTATGTAAATATTAGGAACTCTGGGTCTAAGCTCAATTTCTTTATGGCCAGAATGAATGAGGTTTTGGAAAAATCGCCTCTATCGCACCATGTGTTAAACAAAAATTTTCCACAACGCAATACGTTTTGTCCTGTGTACATCTTTCTCTCATTGGACCCTCTGAATTACGAAATCATTAAAGAGCCTTAATACTAATATTGCCACA